TTGTGACATCATTGCTTACTACGTGTGAAATCTGTGAATGATCACCGAGATCACATGGTACAAAGCTATTCACAACAGCCTTGTACCATGTGACAAGCTGTGACCAATCACAGCTCACACAGTAGTTCTCAATGGCTGCAAGAATGCAGCCAGAGAGAAGGAGAAATGATTGCTTTTACAGCCTTTATGGGTGTAAAAGCAATCAGTGAAAAAAAAAAAAAAAAAAAAAAATCACCCCCCACAAGTAGTACAGTGTCACCATGGTGACACTGTACTGCTAGGGTGACAGTATGTAAAAAAAACCATAAATGATAATATAAAAAAATTTAAAAAATGTAAAAACAAATGTTTAAAAATTATAATTTTTGGTTATAAACTAATTTTTTTTTTTTTTTTCTAAAAAGATAAACGGAATACCTTTTGGCCAAGATTTATGATGAAATACTATTTGCAAAATTTTATAAGAAAAAACACTTTTTTTCAAAATTTTTGGACATTTTCATTTACATAGCAAAAAAAAAAATAAAAACTCCCAGTGGTGAATAAATTCCACCAAAATAAAACTTTATCTGTCTCAAAAAAATGCTAAAAAATTCATATGGGTACAGTGTTGCATGACCGCGCAATTGTCATTCAAAGTGTGATAGCGCTGAAAGCTGAAAATTGGCCTGGACAGGAAGGGGGGGAAAGTGTCCGGACTGGAAGGGGGTGTGAAAGTGTCCGGACTGGAAGGGGTGAAAGTGTCCGGACTGGAAGGGGGTGAAAGTGTCCGGACTGGAAGGGGTGAAAGTGTCCGGACTGGAAGGGGGGGAAAGTGTCCGGACTGGAAGGGGGTGAAAGTGTCCAGACTGGAAGGGGGGGAAAGTGTCCGGACTGGAAGGGGTGAAAGTGTCCGGACTGGAAGGGGGTGAAAAGTGTCCGGACTGGAAGGGGGTGAAAGTGTCCGGACTGGAAGGGGGTGAAAGTGTCCGGACTGGAAGGGGGGAAAGTGTCCGGACTGGAAGGGGGTGAAAGTGTCCAGACTGGAAGGGGGGGAAAGTGTCCAGACTGGAAGGGGGGAAAGTGTCCAGACTGGAAGGGGGGGAAAGTGTCCGGACTGGAAGGGGGGGAAAGTGTCCGGACTGGAAGGGGGGGAAAGTGTCCGGACTGGAAGGGGGGGAAAGTGTCCGGACTGGAAGGGGGTGAAAGTGTCCGGACAGGAAGGGGGGAAAGTGTCCGGACTGGAAGGGGGGAAAGTGTCCGGACTGGAAGGGGGGAAAGTGTCCGGACTGGAAGGGGGTGAAAGTGTCCGGACTGGAAGGGGTGAAAGTGTCCGGACTGGAAGGGGGTGAAAGTGTCCGGACTGGAAGGGGGTGAAAGTGTCCGGACTGGAAGGGGTGAAAGTGTCCGGACTGGAAGGGGGGGAAAGTGTCCGGACTGGAAGGGGGTGAAAGTGTCCAGACTGGAAGGGGGGGAAAGTGTCCGGACTGGAAGGGGTGAAAGTGTCCGGACTGGAAGGGGGTGAAAGTGTCCGGACTGGAAGGGGGTGAAAGTGTCCGGACTGGAAGGGGGGGTTGAAAGTGTCCGGACTGGAAGGGGGGGAAAGTGTCCGGACTGGAAGGGGGTGAAAGTGTCCAGACTGGACTGGAAGGGGGGGAAAGTGTCCAGACATGAAGTGGTTAAAGGGGACTTTCTTTGTTTTTGGTTTCATCACTTATTGTATTTGGACACAAATTTTATATTTTTTTTCACTTTGGTGGTTTTGGACATTTATTTTATAACCACAGAATTTATTATGATTTGTGTATAATTACTGTTTATTCATTTCATGTTTTGTGATGTTTTATTGTTTCACTGGTTCTACTTCAAGAGTAAATTTTTTCAAATTGTTCTGGTATCGGAAAAGGTGAACAAAGTAGGAAGTGTTTGTCTGTGTAGGACAATCATCACTAAAAATGGGCAAGAAGACATAAAACTGGATGAAAGAGATTCAAATATTTATTGGCAACACAGGTTCCCTTCCATTATCGAAAGCATTATTAGTGTTCACACGTTCCAGTCACACATCCATTATATGGAAGACATTTCATGTGCATAGTGGAAACCATTCCTGATATTGCCGTACAGGCATTTATACATCTACAATGGTAGAAAACATCTACATACAAAAACAAAGGATTAGCGTACTTAGCACGGCCAGAGCACAGCGGAAGTGGTTTAAAGGCATAAATAAATCTGAGTAACAGATTGCAATAAGGCCGATCAATGAGATACCAAACAGACCAGGATATACAAAAGAGGAAAAACATGAGACAGGGCTTAGGACAGGACAACATGCACAGTGGGAAGTAATGCAGGACACGGGGAGATTTACTAAAGCTGGTTCACTCAGAATTTGGTGCAGCTGGGCATGGGAGCCAATCAGCTTCTAGCTTCAGCTTGTTCAATTAATCTTTGCTAATAAAACCTGGAAGCTGATTGGTTTCTATGCACCTGATTTTGCACACTTCAGCTTTAATAAATAAAAGCCTCTTGTATAGAGTTGGGATTAAAGTCCAGGGTGAACATGCATCCTGTGAGCATTATGTGTCAGCAAAAATACCCCCCCCAAAAAAAAAAAAAAAAAAAAAAAAAATCGAGCACTAATCTGCAGGCTTACCTTCGAAGCATAAATTCCCCCTCCTCCCAGTACGAATCTGCCCCCCTGCTAAAATCCCCCCTCCCAGCAGAAATCTTTGCCCCTACCCCCTTCTGCTTGTATAGAGCCGAGATGAATACAGGCACTGCTGGGGCAAGGTCATTTAGAGTCCAGGGTGAACATGCCAAACTGCACCCCGTGAGCATTATGTGTCAGCAAAAATCACCCCCCCCCCAAAAAAAAAAAAAAAAAAAATCGAGCACTAATCTGCAGGCTTACCCTCGAAGCATAAATTCCCCCTCCTCCCAGTACCTATGTGCCCACCTACTTAATTCCCCCCTCCCAGCAGAAATCTTTGCCCCTATCCGACCTTTGCTAATCACTCCTCCTAGCACAAATCCTCTATCCCTCAAATTTCCCCTAGGCGCACAAATCCCCCCCCCCATTCCAATGCCCCCCTCGCAGCACACATCCCCCCTGCTGAAATCCCTCCTCCCGGCAGAAATCTTTAACCCCTCCCCCCTGAGTAGAAATCCCATCTCCCAAATATTTCCTCTTTGCACAAATAACCCCTAGTTGTCCCTACTAGCACAAGCCCCACCCCTCAAAATTTCCCCTCCTAGTGCAAATACCCCCCCACCCAATCATGCCTACTAGCACACATCCCCCCCACCCATCCACCCAATGCAAATCTACCCCCCTCTACCCTGACCTCTTCTAGCACTAACCCCCCCAAATCCCCCCTCCTAGCACAAATCCTCCTCCTGCATCCCCCTTCCCAACACAAATCCCCCAAATCACCACTGTACAGAGTCGGGACGTGTATAGGGATTAGTACAGGACACAGCATAGAGCCGGGATTAGTACAGGACACTGCATAGAGCCGGGATTAGTACAGGACACTGCATAGAGTCGGGATTAGTACAGGACACTGCATAGAGTCGGGATTAGTACAGGACACTGCATAGCGTCGGGATTAGTACAGGACACGGTGTATAGAGTCGGGATTAGTACAGGACACGGTGTATAGAGTCGGGATTAGTACAGGACACGGTGTATAGAGTCGGGATTAGTACAGGACACGGTGTATAGAGTCGGGATTAGTACAGCACACCGTGCATAGAGTCGGGATTAGTACAGGACACGGTGTATAGAGTCGGGATTAGTACAGGACAACGTGCATAGAGTCGGGATTAGTACAGGACACGGTGTATAGAGTCGGGATTAGTACAGGATACGGTGTATAGAGTCGGGATTAGTACAGGACACGGTGTATAGAGTCGGGATTAGTACAGGACATGGTGTATAGAGTCGGGATTAGTACAGGACAACGTGCATAGAGTCGGGATTAGTACAGGACACTGTGTATATAGTCAGGATTAGTACAGGACACGGTGTATAGATTCGGGATTAGTACAGGATACGGTGTATAGAGTCGGGATTAGTACAGGACACGGTGTATAGAGTCGGGATTAGTACAGGACACGGTGTATAGAGTCGGGATTAGTACAGGACAACGTGCATAGAGTCGGGATTAGTACAGGACACTGTGTATATAGTCAGGATTAGTACAGGACACGGTGTATAGAGTCGGGATTAGTACAGGATACGGTGTATATAGTCAGGATTAGTACAGGACACGGTGTATATAGTCGGGATTAGTACAGGACACGGTGTATATAGTCGGGATTAGTACAGGACACGGTGTATAGAGTCGGGATTAGTACAGGACACGGTGTATATAGTCAGGATAGTACAGGACACGGTGTATATAGTCGGGATTAGTACAGGACACTGTGCATAGAGTCGGGATTAGTACAGGACACTGTGCATAGAGTCGGGATTAGTACAGGACACTGTGCATAGTGCCGGGATAAGTACAGAACACGGTGTATAGAGTCGGGATTAGTACAGCACACGGTGCATAGAGCTGGGATTAGTATAGGACACTGCATAGAGCTGGGATTTGTACAGCACACCGTGCATAGAGTTGGGATTAGTATAGGACACTGCATAGAGCTGGGATTTGTACAGCACACTGTGTATATAGTCGGGATTAGTACAGGACACCGTGCATAGAGTTGGGATTAGTACAGCACACTGTGTATAGAGCTGGGATTAGTACAGCACACTGTGTATATAGTCGGGATTAGTACAGGACACCGTGCATAGAGCTGGGATTAGAGCGGTACTATACATATCAGGGACAGTGCTGGAATGTTTTGTATGTAGTGGGGGTTGCATTACTCTGTGTCTTCTCTACAAAGGCCCACCAAGTGCTGAGATGACACATGAATGTTGGTTCTCGGTAGTGCTGGTCAGTCCTGGAAGACATTCCGGATTTTGTATTGTTCATTTTCTCAGTAGAGTCCTTCCAGTAGGGTCACGTCCAGACTTCGGTGGGGATGACGCCCTCCTTGCTGCTTAGTGGAGGTAACAGATTCTCCTCAGAAAGAAAGTACAAAGGGAACTCCACCAAATGGCCCTTCGCCCGTGTTAACATCTCCCTGGAGATCTGGGGAAACCGTGCTGGCAAGGCTGGGCACGGCTGTGTAGGCCTGGCGTACACGGTGGCTCGGCACGGCATTGGTTGGGAGACAACGGAATACCTTGGAGAGTGGATGGACACAGAACAATTAGAGGTGATATGGAAGCTGGACGGTGGTTGTCCATGCAGAGTTATGTTCTCTACAGGTGGCCTAAATTACATTTATACATCCCTAACCCCAATTACTGCGCCATAAATCAATCCATTGAAGGGTTACTCCACCCAAAAGTAGGATTTCATTCATAGGTTGTGTTTTGTGGGCTTCTCATATACCCTGAAGACTCCAGTGGTGGGGAATTTTTAAGGGTGAACTAAATGGACTTTTGTCTTTTTCAGCCAGACTAACTATGTAACTCCCTGCCATGCTTCTAAGCTTGGTTCTTTTTGGATGTCCCTGCCCACTACAGTATTGCCCATAATAAGAAACAAATATACCGACCATGGATGGAGTGAGCCCCTCATAATGGGTGTAGCAGGTGTACAGATCTGGGAACTCAGTACAGGGATGGTGGGAACCCCTCATAATGGGCACAGCAGGTGTACAGACCTGGGAACCCAGTACAGAGATGATGGGAGCCACTTAAATTGCACACAGTATGTATTGAGACCTGGGGACTTAGCACATATGATGGTGGGAGCCCCTCATAATAGGCACAACAGATGTGAAGACCCAGGAGCTCAGCACAGGGATGGTGGGAACCCCTCACAATGGGCACTGCAGGTGTACAGACCCGGGAGCTCAGCACAGGGATCTCCATAAGAGATTCCTTGGGCCTACTCACACATCTGCATTTTACATGCGTTGGGGTGTACTATTCATGAAGATGCATTCAGCCTGATGGAATATCCGCTTCCTGGAAAGGGCAACAAAGGATCATTTTTTAAATACTACCCTAAAATGAAAAAAAAAAAAAATAGAACTGGAGGCATACATCAGTGAACTACTCAGGGATCATGATATATGCAGCCTTTTCATTCTGTGTTTATCTCTCAGGGATCTAGTGCAACATGTAGTGTGTAGTAAAAGTGATGTTCTCCTGACAGGACTATTATGTATTCTGTTCCAATGATTGTTCTATGTGGTATCACCCAATAATGCACATACCTGGTCATACAGGGCTGCGTTATTCAGTGCCGTGGGATTCCAGATCTCATTAAAAAAATCGATCAGAAACCGGATCTGATACATCCAGACATGGAGGCTTCAGTGCACCAAGAATTGTACTGTAAAGGAAAATAGACACTGAGATGTATGCAATATATGATGTCCATGTATCCGGTCTTAGCTTGGGAACCCAAGTATCATTGTTCCAGGACCCCCAAGTATCAGTGTGTCATTGTTCTGGACCCCCAAGTGTCAGGGTGTCATTGTTCTAGGACCCCCAAGTATCAGTGTATCATTGTTCTGGACCCCCAAGTATCATTATTCCAGGACTCCCTAGTGTCAGAGTGTCATTGTTCCGGGACCCCCAAGTATCAGTGTATCATTGTTCCGGACCCCCAGGTGTCAATTTGTCATTGTTCTGGACCCCCCAAATGTCAGTGTGTCATTGTTCCGGGACCCCCAAGTGTCAGTGTGTCATTGTTCCGGGACCCCCAAGTGTCAGTGTGTCATTGTTCCGGGACCCCCAGGTGTCAGTGTGTCATTGTTCTGGGACCCCCAGGTGTCAGTGTGTCATTGTTCCGGGACCCCCAGGTGTCAGTGTGTCATTGTTTTGGACCCCAAGGTGTCAGTGTGTCATTGTTCTGGACTCCCCAGGTATCAGTGTGTCATTGTTCTGGACCCCCAAGTGTCAGTGTATCATTGTTCCAGACCCCCAGGTGTCAATTTGTCATTGTTCTGGACCCCCCCAAGTGTCAGTACATACTTTTTCTGGACCCCCCCAAATGTCAGTGTGTCATTGTTCTGGACCCCCAGGTATCAGTGTGCCATTGTTCCAGGACCCCCAGGCATCAGTGTGTCATTGTTTCGGGTCCACCAGGTATCTGTGTGCCATTGTTTTCCGGGGCCCCCAAGTGTCAGTGTGCCATTGTTTTCCGTGGCCCCCAAGTGTCAGTATGTGATTGTTTCGGGACCCCCAGGTGTCAGTGTGCCATTATTCTGGGACCCCCAGGTGTCAGTATGTCATTGTCCAGGACCCCCAGGTGTCAGTATGTCATTGTCCAGGACCCCCAAGTGTCAGTGTGTCATTGTTTAGGACCCCCAAGTGTCAGTGTGTCATTGTTTAGGACCCCCAGGTGTCAGTGTGCCATTATTCTGGGACCCCCAGGTGTCAGTATGTCATTGTCCAGGACCCCCAGGTGTCAGTATGTCATTGTCCAGGACCCCCAAGTGTCAGTGTGTCATTGTTTAGGACCCCCAGTGTCAGTGTGTCATTGTTTAGGACCCCCAAGTGTCAGTGTGTCATTGTCCAGGACCCTCAGGTGTCAGTATGTCATTGTTCCAGGACCCCCAAGTGTCAGTGTGTCATTGTTCCAGGACCCCCAAGTGTCAGTGTGTCATTGTTCCGGGACCCCCAAGTGTCAGTATGTCATTCTTCCAGGACCCCCAAGTGTCAGTGTGTCATTGTTCCAGGACCCCCAAGTGTCAGTGTGTTATTGTTCCGGGACCCCAGGTGTCAGTGTGTCATTGTTCCGGGACCCCAGGTGTCAGTGTGTCATTGTTCCGGGACCCCAGGTGTCAGTGTGTCATTGTTCGGGACCCCAGGTGTCAGTGTGTCATTGTTCCGGGACCCCAGGTGTCAGTGTGTCATTGTTCCGGGACCCCAGGTGTCAGTGTGTCATTGTTCCGGGACCCCAGGTGTCAGTGTGTCATTGTTCCGGGACCCCCCAGGTGTCAGTGTGTCATTGTTCCGGGACCCCAGGTGTCAGTGTGTCATTGTTCGGGACCCCAGGTGTCAGTGTGTCATTGTTCCGGGACCCCAGGTGTCAGTGTGTCATTGTTTCGGGACCCCAGGTGTCAGTGTGTCATTGTTCCAGGACCCCAGGTGTCAGTGTGTCATTGTTCCGGGACCCCAGGTGTCAGTATGTCATTGTTCTGGGACCCCAGGTGTCAGTGTGTCATTGTTTCGGGACCCCAGGTGTCAGTGTGTCATTGTTCCAGGACCCCCAGGTGTCAGTGTGTCATTGTTCCGGGACCCCAGGTGTCAGTGTGTCATTATTCCGGGACCCCAGGTGTCAGTATGTCATTGTTCTGGGACCCCAGGTGTCAGTATGTCATTGTTCCAGGACCCCAGGTGTCAGTGTGTCATTGTTCCAGGACCCCAGGTGTCAGTGTGTCATTGTTCCAGGACCCCCAGGTGTCAGTGTGTCATTGTTCCAGGACCCCCAGGTGTCAGTATGTCATTGTCCAGGACCCCCAAGTGTCAGTGTGTGTCATTGTTTAGGACCCCCAAGTGTCAGTGTGTCATTGTCCAGGACCCTCAGGTGTCAGTGTGTCATTGTTCCGGGACCCCCAAGTGTCAGTGTGTCATTGTTCCGGGACCCCCAAGTGTCAGTGTGTCATTGTTCCAGGACCCCCAAGTGTCAGTGTGTCATTGTTCCAGGACCCCCAAGTGTCAGTGTGTCATTGTTCCAGGACCCCCAAGTGTCAGTGTGTCATTGTTCCGGGACCCCCAAGTGTCAGTGTGTCATTGTTCCGGGACCCCCAAGTGTCAGTGTGTCATTGTTCCAGGACCCCCAAGTGTCAGTGTGTCATTGTTCCAGGACCCCCAAGTGTCAGTGTGTCATTGTTCCGGGACCCCAGGTGTCAGTGTGTCATTGTTCCGGGACCCCAGGTGTCAGTATGTCATTGTTCTGGGACCCCAGGTGTCAGTGTGTCATTGTTCCAGGACCCCCAGGTGTCAGTGTGTCATTGTTCCGGGACCCCAGGTGTTAGTGTGTCATTGTTCCGGGGACCCCAGGTGTTAGTGGGCAAGGCTCCCATGGTAGATCCACAAAAGTCGGAATAGTGTGCAGCATCCTCAGGGGTGTCTAACTCACTTGAAACAATCCATCCGAAGACTTAAAGCAAACTTTCCAGCCTGGTACACATTGCCGTTCATTGTGGAGTTCACAAATTCTGTATCTTCCACAAACACAGCCAGCTCGCTGTCCCTCTTCCCCAGCAGGCTCCTGTCATTGATGTTCGCTGAACCTTCATAAGAAAACAACATACATTTGGTCACGCCTCACACAGGCTCACACCATACAAACCCTGAGCTTCACTTATTGAGATACCTGAAAGCTGAACTGTCTGTGAGGAGCAGAGAAAACATCAGATTCTCACTTCTGTTTTCTAAGCTGTGGTCAAAGAAGTGAATTTATTATCAGCAGTGTCAGCCAAGCAGGCTTTATGACATTGCACAGTGCTGTCAGTCTAACACAGGAAACATGCTTGCAGGAGGGCACAGCACAGAGATAAACTGCACTGCACTACTCCTTCAACGAACAGTCAGGAAGGTGACACCACGGGAACCTTAAACTGTAACAAGAAAGTGGTGTCACCACTCCTGACTGGGCAATGTCTCAGGAATATGTGAATCATTAAAGTGGATAGGGAGGCATACCAATGATGACTTTTCTGTCGTCAACGATCAGCATCTTGCTGTGTATGTAAATGAGCTCCGTTACTAGAGAGCCGTCAGGCATGTCGCCATGCGTCCGCAGACCGCAAACCGAGAGGTACTGCCGCCAGCCATCGCCCACTGCAAAAAGGAGAAGATAAAAACACCAAATTCAAAAAGATGCCAACAAATGGCCCAAACCCTCCATGACACCCACCCCACCCCCCGACACTTACTCTCCTCCTTAAGCTGAGAGATGATCGAATTCTCTCCGCGGCAAATAGAACTGGAAAAGCAACGACGTTCGATTACTCATTGGGTGATCTTTTTCTTGTTCAAAGATTTTATTGATTTTAACAGGAAAGAATAAATGGGATACAATTCTCATACAAAAAATTGCATAGGTACAAAATGAAGTATCAATAACAAATGAGACCTTATAGGAAAGGGAAGAGAAAGAGGGGGGGATAAGGAGAGGTAGGTGACTCCACGGTTAGAAGCAATAGATGAAGAAGAATATGAGATTGGTGGGGGGTGGTACCAATCAGGGGTGGACTGACCATTTGGAAACTCGGGCACTGCCCGAGGGCCCAGGGTCAGTAGGGGGCCCCATGAGATGCCCCTGGTACCTTTTTCATAGGCTTTTTTGAGTTTGGGCAAGGACACAGGGGCCCCATGATCCCCTATTGCCCAGGGGCCCCATGAGTTGTCAGTCCGCCCCTGGTACCAATGTAGCTTGAAGTATTTGTTACGGGTTGAGAAGTGAATCATCAAAGTTAGGCGGAAGGAAAATGTTCTACCCAGGGGTTCCATACCTTCTTGAATTTAGGGATGGTATTCTACTTTTGCATGAATCATATCCTGGGTAACTTTATTTTTAACTACTGCGATGCATAGCGAGGGAGATTTCCATGATGACCTGCTTGGCTGCTGTAGTAACTTGCAGGATAAGTTTGAATTTTGAATTTGTGACGTCAGGGGGTCATAGGTTGAGCAGAGCAGTTGATGGGTTCGGTTGGAGGATTTTTGTGCTTAGTGTAGAAAGCGTTCTAAAGACTTTCGCCCAGAAGACTTGGGTGGTTGGGAAATCCCACCATGTATGGAAATGTGTGCCCAGGTCTACACAGCCTCTGAAGCAAGTTGAGGGGTAATTAGGGGTGTACTTCGCTAGTCTTGCTGGGACTAGGTACCAGCGAGTCAGGACTTTGTAGTTGGTTTCCAAGGCCACGATATTTTGCGATGACGCTTTAGTATTGATTTGGTAATCTTTTTTATGACACTGTAACAATTTATTTTTTTTTCAGAACAAAAAGGCTCCTTCTATAGCTGCCATGACGGCTCCGGCCAGACAGGCCTACAGTAAGGCTGGAAACCTGAATAATGATCAGGATAGCAGTACTACCTGTATGTGTAGTGCAGAATGGCCTGGATGGAGTTTCCACCTCCCATCTCAATGTTCCCCTCGAAGCCCGGTAACAGAGGGATGACGATGAAGACTCGGAAGGTGGCGTTTTCCCTGCAAAAATGGATCACTCATCAGCGGTCAGCGTGAATCTGATTTCAGCTCATACATGTGTAAGCATGCACATTCACATTGATAGAAAAAAAAACGGTTTTAAGTCTCGTTTGTTTGAGCTTTGCCCTACCCTGCAGCCAGGGCTTTTTTTGCTCAGAGAATAGGTGCAGGAACTGCTCCCTTCTGAATCACTTCTTGGCTCCTCCCCCTTACCCACCTCCGAGCACTGTCCCTTGGTTCCACCCCCTACCCACCTCCGAGCACTGTCCCTTGGTTCCACCCCTACCCACCTCCGAGCAATGTCCCTTGGTTCCACCCCCTACCCACCTCCGAGCAATGTCCCTTGGTTCCACCCCCTACCCACCTCCGAGCACTGTCCCTTGGTTCCACCCCCTACCCACCTCCAAGCACTGTCCCTTGATTCCACCCCCTACCCACCTCCGAGCACTGTCCCTTGTCTCCTCCCCCTTACCCACCTCCGAGCACTGTCCCTTGGTTCCACCCCCTACCCACCCACCTCCGAGCACTGTCCCTTCGTTCCACCCCCTACCCACCTCCGAGCACTGTCCTTTGGTTCCACCCCCCTACCCACCTCCGAGCACTGTCCCTTCGTTCCACCCCCTACCCACCTCAGGTCCAGTGCTGGTGACGTGTCACCCCCTAATGTACCACATGGTCGGCAAGCTAATGCTTTTCGGGGACACACCCTCTTCTTCAAAGCTACTTCTCCAGGAAGGGGGTGTTTCCTCCGAAACGCACCACGACAATGTTGGCAAGCTTACGTGTTTCAGGGTACACACCTCCTTCAGAGCTAGCTCTGAGAAAGTGGGGGGTGTCCCCCGAAACACGTTAGCTTGCCAACATTGTGGTACACTGGGTTGGGTGACAATTATGCACTCAACTTCTTTGTTTATTAAATTTTGCTTGAGGTGATTGTAGCCGTATTAGTACACTTGCGACAGAAACAATCGAATCCTGTCTGTGATACTTTTTTTATTTGCACTAACATACAATTTTCAGGACAAGCTTTCGAGCTTTGTCCCCTTCCTCAAGGTCCAAGCAGCACTACTTCACAAAGATTTAGCAGAATGTTAAATGAAACAATCTCTGAGGGGGAAAAAAAACAGGAAAAAAAAAACCACACAGGAACAAATGTACACAGCAATGGTTATAAAACTAGGATTAGACTAGAGACAAGACACAGCAAAAGCAAAGACTGCTCCCCCAAGCAGTTGTAAAACTGTTGGATAATGATTGAGGAATCCCATGTCCAAATTAAGGCCGTTATCTCTTGTGTCAAATAGAAATATTCTTAGTTCAAAAGTTTTCCTTTCCTGGATAGTTTTGACATTTCCTTTAAGAACCAAGACCTTCCATAGTGTGGCCTGGTTGTGCGAAATGTAGTCCCACAGGTGTGCAGAAGTCATCTTCTTTATGTTCCAATGTTCCAATCACTGTCCAAATCTTGTAGACTTCACCTCCACAACATCTCCAAGATACAACCGTTCCTAACCTCGGAAACCACTAAGCAACTTATTCACTCCCTGGTTATCTCTCGCCTTGACTATTGTAACTCTCTCCTCATTGGCCGACCTCATCGCAGGCTATCCCCTCTTCAGTCTATCATGAATGCTGCTGCCAGACTCATCAACCTTGCTAACCATTCCATATCTGCCATCCCTCTCTGCCAATCCCTCCACTGGTCCACTCAGTGTCCTCCATCCCTCTCTGCCGATCTCTCCACTGGTCCACTCAGTGTCCTCCATCCCTCTCTGCCAATTCCTCCACTGGCCTCCACTCAGTGTCCTCCACCCCTCTCTGCCAATCCCTCCACTGACTTCCCATTGCCCAATGAATAAAATTCAAAATATTAATAACATATAAAGCCATTTATAACTCTGCCCCAAATTACATTTATTTATTTCAGGTACTTATATAGCGCCATCAATTTATGCAGCGCTTTACATATATATATTGTACATTCACATCAGCCCCTAACCCTCAAGGGGCGTAAGGCTTCTAACTCACATTCATATACTAGGGCCAATTTATACAGGATCCAATTAACCTACCAGCATGTCTTTTAGAGTGTGGGAGGAAACCGGAGTACCCAGAGGAAACCCACACAGGCACAGGGAGAACATGCAAGCTCGAACCAACGACCCTAGTACTGCCAGGTGGAAGTGCTAACCATTTAGCCACTGTACATCAACAATCTTGTCTCCAAATATCACCCAAACCGTACTCTCTGCTCCTCGCAAGACCTCCTGCTCTCTAGCTCCCTTATCTCTTCCTCCCATGTTCATTTCCAGAACTTCCCCAGAGCCTTCCCCATCCTCTGGAACTCTCTACCCCAATCAATCAGACTATCGTCTACTCTGCCCACTTTTAGAGAATCTCTGAAAACCTATCTCTTCAGGGAAGCCTATCCTGCCGTCAGCTAATAATGGAATCTTCTATTCCTCCTACCAGTCCATCCCCCACAGTTATTACCTTTTGTACCACTAGCCCCTCCCTCTTAGATTGTAAGCACCCAGGATCAGGGCCCTCCTATCCCTCTTGTATTGAACTGTATTGTTGCTGTATTGTCTCCCGTTATATTGTAAAGCGCTGAGCAAACTGTTGGCGCCATAAATTCTGTATAATAATAATAATATATAAATCCTGTATAATAATAATATATAAATCCTGTATAATGATATTATTATTATACAGGATTTATATATTATTATTATCATTATACAGGATTTATATATTATTATTATACAGGATTTATATATTATTATTATTATACAGGATTTATATATTATTATTAATATATAAATCCTGTATAATAATAATAATATATAAATCCTGTATAATAATAATAATATATAAATCCTGTATAATAATAATAATAATATATAAATCCTGTATAATAATAATAATAATGTTCCTTGATGGTATGTCTGTGCAGATTCATCCTTGTTCGCAACTTCTGTCCTGTCTTGCCAACATAAGATCCTTTGCTGCATTTTCTGCACTGGATAAGGTACACATTACTGGAGGTGCAGCTGTATGATCCGGAGATATTGAAGATCCCTTTTGAGTGTCTGACACTTTTTGATGGATTGATTTGGTTGCACAGTTTGCAGCGTATTTTATTGCAGGGTTTGCTTCCATTATTTGTGACATCATCATCAGAAGGAAGTTTCCTACTGATTAGTTTCTGAGGTTGGGGGGGTTGTCTAAAAGCCAGTATTAGGGGGTTGCTGAAATATTACTTTCAGAGTTCCATCCTCTGTTATGATGGGTTGTAAATCTTTGATTATTTTTCTTATTCCTTCTAGTGCTGGGTTGTATGTGGTTACTAGAGGTACATGTACAAACAACCGTGTACCTCTAGTAAGCACATACATCCCAGCACTAGAAGGAATAAGAAAAATAATAATAATAATAGTATAAAAATATAAAATAAAAATTTTAAAAAATGTTTTAAAAAAATTATTTTTGGTTATAAACTAATTTGGGTTGTTTTTTTTTTACTAAAAAGGATAGATGGATACACTTTGGCCAAGATTTATGAAGAAAGATTATTTGCAAAATGTTATAAGAAAAAACACTTTTTTTCAAAATGTTTTGACTTTTTCATTTATATAGCAAAAAAATTTAAATCCCAGTGGTGAATAAATACCACCAAAATAAAGTTTTATCTGTCTCAAAAAAATGCTAAAAAATTCATATGGGTACAGTGTTGCATGACCGCGCAATTGTCATTCAAAGTGTGATAGCGCTGAAAACTGAAAATTGGCCTGGACAGGAAGGGGGTGAAAAGTGTCCGAACTGGAAGTGGTTAAAGGGGACTTTCTTTGTTTTTGCTTTCATCACTTATTGTATTTGGACACAAATTTTATATTTTTTTTTCACTTTGGTGGTTTTGGACATTTATTTTATAACCACATAATTTATTATGATTTGTGTATAATTACTGTTACGGACTTGAAATGGTTAATAAATGTTTTGGTAATGCACTATGCCAGGGGAGCCCTCTGATGTGGCCTGACACCTCCTGCTTTGGAATGGTGGGTCAGCAAGCCTAGATTGCGGGTTCACATCCCGCCATCCCACAGCATCAGTGTTGAGAATGGAGCCGGCGGTAGAGCAAGCATGCGGCTGCAGTAGAGAGCAGAGTCCATGCTTTCTGTATAGCGCTGGCTCGGGTCACAGGCAGAGTGATATCAAATACACTCCACCGGGGACAGCAACAGCCGGCGATACCTGCAGGGTGATTTTTAAAGTGAAGGTCAGTTTTTTCTTTTTATTAAATCACACGTTCTAGTTCTGCACTGGTTACTCTGGGCTGCTTTCAAACTGATCTGCGGGTGCAGCGCAGCGAACCTGCGGGTTACCTGCACCGAACCATAGACTTCTGTTTATTACCAGGGGCGGACTGACCATTCGAGCACACTCGGCCACTGCCCAAGGGCCCAGGGTCAGTAGGGGGCCCCATGAAATGCCCCTGGTACTTTTTATAGGCTTTTTTGGGTGTGCTTTGAGTGTGGGCAAGGACACAGGGGGGGGCCCCATGAGTTATCAGTCCGCCCCTGGTTATTACCTATAAGTTTGGTGCACTTTCCAAATGAGCACCAAAACCCTGAATGCAGGACTTTAGTTCACTTTCAAAAAGTGCACCACACCTGCAGGATATAATAGAATTCTATGGTAACCTGCAGCTAATCCGCAGGAGATCCAGAGGTGCACTGCACTGCACCCCGCGGTGCGGGTAAACTTCAGCAGATCAGCGTGAAAGCAGCCTTTGTTCTCTTTCACATGATAAGTTCTGCCGGTCTGTTTTTCAGGCGGACCTAACTGGACCCTCCATTCACCTCTATGGTGGACTTGTGTCTGTTTAAAAACCCACCTACCTCCAATTGGATCTGCTAAAAAATAACAGAAGGGGATCCATCCACTTCTGTCTGGGCAGATAAGATCAGAAGGCCCATACAGTAGGGCGAGCTGTGTCCATAATTACATAGATACATCGTTAGTCCGGCTGAAAATAAGACACACGTCCATCTAGTTCAACTATTAAAACCATATGCAGAGTGGACACGGACCTGTCATCCACCAGCTCTGCTCATTGTGGCCCACAACCAGTTCACTCACTTGTGCGCTCGGCATATCCGCTTAACGATGGCTTCTGTGATGGAGTTCTGTATTGTCCGTCCACCCGTACAGCTGATGAAGAACTGATTCTAGAGGGAAACAAGGTAAAAATATTAGACAGCAGGTACTCAACTGTGCTGCTGCTTGAAGCTTTGGGAACCTTTGGGTCACATGGTCTGTGGCTACTACATTGGTGTGAGCTGGGGCTGCCCAGAGATAAAATGTGGAGCGGAGATCTCCGGAATACATGGACACTACTTACCTAGGGCAAGTAAAGATGGTGGAATGCTTTATTAAAGGTTTCCTGGCTTAGTGAAATATGTTGTCCTGAAGAGTTGCAGACCACACCGTAGGGTCATACTAGGACCAGTAAAGCCAATTTCACATTGGGCGGGTTGTACAAAATAGGGTTGTGTCTTTTTTGTGGTCAGGAAAGGATCTATAAGCAGTTCAATGAGCCTAGAACTCACCTCTATGTAGACGTAGTGTTCAGCATTGGATATACAGTGCACGTAGGCGTTGTGAATGGAACATTCGTTACATCCTGCAGACCAGCGATCAACCGACCTCAACAACTGCATGAGAAAGACATTGTGATTACACCGCAGTGTAATGTACCAAATCTACTGAACACGCATACATGTACACTGACATGGTAAGCAATAATTCAAAGCAATCTGAAATTACACTGCTCAAAAAAATGAAAAGGAACACTTTGAGAGCACAACAGATCTCAATGGGGAAAAATCTCCTGCTGGATATCTGTACTGGATAATGTGTGAGGAACGTAAGGATGCCCCATCGTTTGATGGAAATGAAAACGATCGACCTACAGAGGACTGAATTCAAAGACACCCCGGAAATCAAAGTGAAAAAATGATGCAGCAGGCGAATCCATTTTGCTGAAATGTCATTGCAGCAACTCAGAATGGTCCTCAGTAGTTTGTATGGCCCCCACATGCTTGTATGTATGCCTGATAACGTCGGGGGAGGCTCCTAATGAGACGGCGGATGGTGTCCTGGGGGATTTCCTTCCAGATCTGGACCAGGGCATCACTGAGCTCCTGGACAGTCTGGGGTGCAACCTGGCGGCATTGGATGGACCGAAACATGACATCCCAGAGGTGTTCTATTGGATTTTGGTCGGGCGAGCGTGGGGGCCATTCAATGGTGTCAAGTCCTTCATCCTCCAGGAACTGCCTGCATACTCTTGCCACATGAGGCCAGGCATTGTCAGGCACCAGGAGGAACCCAAGACTCACTGCACCAGCGTAGGGTCTGACAATGGGTCCAAGGATTTCATCCCGATACCTAATGGCAGTCAGGGTGCCATTGTCTAGCCTGTAGAGGTCTGTGTGTCCCTCCATGGATATGCCTCCCCAGACCATCACTGACTCACCACCAAAACGGTCATGCTGAACCATGTTACAGTCAGCAGAACATTCTCCACGGCTTCTCCAGACCCTTTCACGTCTGTCATATGTGATCAGGGTGAAACTGCCCTCATCTGTGAAAAGCACAGGGCGCCAGTGGTGGACCTGCCAATTCTGGTGTTCAATAGAAAATACCAATCAAGCTCTATGGTGCCGGGCAGTGAGCACAGGGCCTACTAGAGGATGTCGGGCCCTCAGGCCACCCTCATGAAGTCTGTTTCTGATTGTTTGGTGAGAGACTTTGCCTGTTGGAGGTCATTTTGTAGGGCTCTGGCAGGGCTCATCCTGTTCCTCCTTGCACAAAGAAGCAGATACCGATCCTGCTGATGGGTTAACCCTTTGAGGACCAAGGGACGTATTTGTCCCATGTTTGTAATTGCGTGTATCATCTGATTAAGAACTTAAAACTCTTCTTTTTTTTTTCGGTTTGAGTCAAAATATTAGTTCTTATCAACAAACAACAAATGGATCTAGCTTTTGCCAATTATTTCATGAAATGGCTTAGTTACAGCAACAGAAGTGTACGAACTTTAAAAAAAAAAAAAATTGATTCTTTTGGCGTTCCAAAACCTTACGGTCCTCAAAAGGTTAAGGACCTTCTACGGACCTGTCCAGCTCTCCTAGAGTAACTGCCTGTCTCCTGGAATCTCCTCCATGCTCTTGAGACTGTGCTGAGAGACACAGCAAACCTTCTGGCAATGGCACATATTGATGTGCCATCCTGTAGGAGTTGGACTGCCTGTGCAATGCCGGTTGACTGCTGGTCAACACTGACCCTAGCCAAATGGAAAGCTAGTGAAAAACAGTCAGAAAAAGATGAGTAGGGAAAAAAGTGGCCTCCACCTTTAAAACCATTCCTGTTTTGGGGGTTGTCTCATTCAGCCTATCCACTGGACCTGTTGTTAATTTCATTAACACCAAAGCAGCTGAAACTGATTAACAACCCCCTCTGCTACTTACCTGACCAGAACAATCTCAGGAGTTTCATGGACTTGCTGCTATGCTCAGATTAAAAAGTCTTCCCTTCATTTTTTTGAGCCGTGTATAACATACACTCTAAGACTCAATTCACAAATTCATTATGTTAAAGCTGAATTCCAGGTATGGCAATTGTCACATAATCACATTACTCCAGCTTGGACCACTCCAACTACTCCAGCTTGGATCTCCATGGAAGTTGGCAATCAGTGTAGTACACACCGCTACTCCGGGGATCCCCAGTAGCTTCTGGGTCCTGTGCTGAGCAGCTGCCCTGCGACATTCTGAACACAGGAGATCTGCCGCTTGGCACGGGCACCATTCACAGAACACTTTGCATTTTCTCAATGAATGCATGTTCTCCTATTGGGCAAGGTGGAGATTGTGATATCCCCACTCCACCTTGTCCATTCAGAGAATGCATTGCATTCATTAGGAAAACACAAAATGTTCTCTGAATGGCACCCATGCCGATTGGTCAAACGCTTCCCTCCAGTTATGGCCCAGACATATTTAAATTTTTTACAGCCCATAAGGCTGTAAAAGCGATCATTTCTCCTTCTCTCTGGCTGCATTCCTGCAGCCATGGAGAAATACTGTGAGAGCTGTGATTGGTCACAGCTTGTCACATGGTACAAGGCTGTTGTGAATAGCCCTGTACCATGTGATCTCTGTGATCATTCACAGAGTTCACAAGTAATAAGCATGATGTCAGAAGTGGTAAATCCAAGAGCTGCAATGTACTATCTGTACCTCCATTGAACTCCATTCCTCTCCCTCACCTGTACAGTGGCACTGTGGCATCCTGGCACCGAGTACTGATGTCTGTCCGCTGTGCTCAGAGATTTCGGAAGAAGATATGGGAATGACGGACCTTTATATTTCGATTTGGTGGTCTGTAGAATACAAAACATATGAAAGTAACAAAGATCTGGGCAGATTTCTAGATATCCACATGTAGCACAGCTGCTAATACCATTGACAAACGAGGGTAAATGTTCCTATAATGTGCAAAAAAAAAAAAAAGTGTATAAATTGAGATATTTTGCGCTTATAAGGTTAACCGCAGCATTCATTTCTACTTCAGGAGCAATTTTTGGCTTACTGGAGGCTACTAAGGTCCATGGCAAATTGGCAATCATGACGTGGATATCGAGCAGAGAGACAATCACCTGTTTCCACGCCGTGTTTCCTCGCGGGCCGTCACAGAGAAAACAATGCATTGCTCACCCGACCAGCAAGGGAGCGACGCACGGAAACAGCACGCGAACATACAGACTACCACGGGCTAACACTCACCAGCAGCCATCCACCACACGTGACGTGGAGATGAAAAATGTGCAGAAGAACATGTGAACATGGGTTGACTCTTTTACCATTTCTGTGAGGGGTTTATTCTACATAAAAATAATTTTAACCGTGACGATTAGTTAAAACCCCCCTCCTGCTCACTCACCTTTCTCCCCCACACTCTCTCTCCCCCCACGGTGCTTTCACTCTCCTCCCCCCACTCCCCCTCCATGATCTCTCTCTTCTCCCCCCCCCCCCATCCTTGCTCTTCCTCCCCCCCATCCCTGCTCTTCCTCCTCCCCAGTCTCCCCCCCCCTTCCTCACTCTCTCTCTTTCCCTCTCCATCTTTCCCGCGCTCTCCCTCTCTCTCTCCCCCCCTTCCCCGCTTTCTCTCTCTCTCTCCCTTCCTTCCCCTTCCCCACTCTCTCTCCCTCCCCCCTTCCTGCTCTCTCTCTCCATCCCCCCTCCCCCACACTCTCTGTCTCCCTCCCCCTTTCTCCGCATTCTCTCTTTCCCTCCCCCCTCCCCGCACTCTTGCTCCCCCCCCACTCTCTCTCTCTCCCCCCTTTCCGGCACTCTCTCTCTCTCTCCCCCCCCTTTTCCCGCTCTCTCTCTCCCCCCCTGCTTCCCTGATCTCTCTCTCCCTCCCCCCCTTCCCCGCTCCCCCCCTTCCCCTGATCTCTCTCTCCCTCCCCCCGTCCCCACTCTGTCTCTTCCCCCTCTTTCCCCCTCTCTCTCCCCCTCTCTCTCTTGCCCCCCCTCTCTCTACTCCCCGCCCACTCTCTCTCCCCCCCCCGTCTCTCTCTTTCCCCCCTCCCTACTCTCTCTCTACCCCCCTACTCACCCCCCCCCCCCCCACACACACACACACTCACACACTCTTTCCACAATTTTCTTTCAATCCCTCTACCCTCTCTTTCTTCCTCCCCTTATTTCTTCTCTCTCTCCCTCCCAATCTCTCTCTCCCAGACAGGCCAGCCAATGGGACAAACTCCTATAAGCCCTGGTCATCATAGTGACAGTTTGTTGTTGGACTGCAGGGTTTGATCTATTTTATATAACTGTGACCAAAAAAAAAGAACAAAAAAAATCAAATCATTATTGATAAGCATTCAAGGGACTGTTAATATTTAGGCAAGACCATCACCCGACTCTCATATTCTACATGAATTCTGCAAGAAGGTGTTCCCATTAAGTGTCCATCCTAGGCAGCTAGTGGACAATCTTCCAGACTTTTAGTTTATTGGAGTTCGTCAAATCTGTTCTGAGCCAGGTGATGTTAGGGTTAAAATTAAAAAATTCAGCAAATATTCAAGGATCATGGGTATCTCGGGGATGTTCGGGATTGGGCCCCAAAACATACAGTTATTAGAATAGAAGAGTATGCCCACCACATAGGTACATACAGAGTCCCTTATGTTCGGACTAAATATTTTCTGCCTTAAAATGTTTTAAAAGTTGTGAATCCGCATTCTTTCATATTGGGGAGTGACTACAACATATGTAATGTAGTGAAAAGGCCACCATCGCAAAGTTATAAGAAAGCTAAAGGACCTTCTACTTAGAGCATATCAATTAAATACAAAAATACATCTTGGAACAAAAGGGGCTATTTCACATGTTATCAGTGTAACACATGTAGTGCTATATATGAGAGCTCTAGTTTTTCCATTCTCAGTCAAGATACAAATATGCCCTGCAAGAGTATTTTAACTGCGATTCTAATTTTTGTGTCTAGTTTGCTCAGTTGTAAGGAGTATAGATAGTAGTTCTATGTGTGCTGTTTGTCTGTCACCTTTCATAAGAGGTCCTGTTGAGGCCTAAAATATTTGTGGAGGAACATGGTTTGATGAGTCCTCAATAAACATCTAAGACTCATTATGGGCTGCTGTATTTTTTATGAGGTAATCTCCCCTGACAGAGATTCTAACCCTTCACCATTTTGACTGGAACTAAACAAAATCCATTTGTCCATCCCCACATTCATCCATCTATCTTCCATCCACCAAGCAATCAATTCACCTATTCATTCATCCATCTGTCCATCCATCCATATAGCTATCCATTAAGCCATCCGACCACTCATCCACTTATTCTTTTATCCAACTTTGTATCCTTCCACCCATCCACTGATCCAACCATTTACTTATCCATTAACCCATCAATCCACTTAACAAGCTATCTATCCACCTATCCACATATCCTTTCATCCATCTACGTATTCTTCTACCCATCCACCCATTTACGTATCCATCAACCCATCCATTTTCTTATCCATCAACCCATCCATCCTCATATCCATCTACCAAGCTATCCATCTACTCATCCACAAATCCTTCTACCTATCCAACCATTTACTTATCCATTAACCCATCCATTTTCTTATCAATCAACCCATCCATCCACTTATCCATCTACCAAGCTATCCATCCACCCATCCACATATCCTTTCATCCATCCACGTATTCTTCTACCCATCCAACCACTTACTTATCCATCAACCCATCCATTTTCTTATCCATCAACCCATTCATCCTCTTATCCATCAACCCATCCATCCTCTTATCCATCTACCAAGCTATCCATCTACCCATCCATAATTCCTTCTACCCATCCAACCATTTAATTATCTCATCAAACCATCCATTTTCTTATCCATCAATCCATCCACTTAGCCATCTACCAAGCTATCCATCCACCCATCCACATATCCTTTCATCCATCCACGTATTCTTCTACCCATCCAACCATTTACTTATCCATCAACCCATCCATTTTCTTATCCATCAACTTATCCATCTACCAAGCTATCCATCCACCCATCCACATATCCTTTCATCCATCCACGTATTCTTCTACCCATCCAACCACTTACTTATCCATCAACCCATCCATTTTCTTATCCATCAACCCATCCATCCACTTATCCATCTACCAAGCTATCGATCTACTCATCCAGAAATCCTTCTACACATCCAACCATTTACTTGTCCTTCAACCTATCCATTTGCTTATTCCTCAACTCTTGAAATTCATTTTTTCATCCAGCCATTCATTCATCCATCCACCTATTTATCCATAAGATACATAATTTTATAAAGGCATATCTTTCATTATTGTTACCCAAGAATATTTAATTTTTTCTTCTAACAAGGCAAGAAAACTGCTCTTAATGAAGACAGGATGATCAAGGAGTAAAGGTTTGTCAAGAAAGTCCTCACCTTTGTAAAGTTCCACCTTTGAATAAAGTGTCTAGATGCATCCCTTGCAGCTTTACCGAGAATCACTGCACCTATGTCCCTCCATGGCATTCGTGGGTTTTTCAATCGATCGATGAAATCTAAAAGCAAAGAAATAGAATCAACCTTGAAAGGCGCTATAAGCATGTCCTTTCTCCTGTAGAGGGACACAGTCAGAAGGAAGCTCAGTGTCTGTCTTCCTCCTGCAGGGTGATACAGACAGAAGGGGGATATGAGTCTGTCCTCCTCCTGCAGGGTGATACAGACAGAAGGGGGCTACGTGTCTGTCCACCTCCTGCAGGGTGATACAGACAGAACGGGGCTATGAGTCTGTCCCCCTCCTGCAGGGTGACACATATAGAAGGAGCTATAAGTCTGTCCTCCTCCTGCAGGGTGATACATATAGAAGGAGCTATGAGTCTGTCCTCCTCCTGCGGGGTGACACATATAGAAGGAGCTACGAGTCTGTCCTCCTCCTGCAGGTGACACATATAGAAGGGAGCTATGAGTCTGTCCTCCTCCTGCAGGATGACACAGACAGAAGAGTGTAAGGAGTCTGTCCATCAACCTGTAAGGTGACGCATAGAGAAGGGAGCTATGAGTCTGTCCCTTATCGGGTAGGGTGGAGCAGACAGAAGAGTGTAATGAATCTGTCCATCAACCTATAGGCTGACACATAGAGAAAGGGGTCCATGAGTCTGTCCCTCCTTCCCAGAATGCAGTGCCATCAATAGAAATGAGAGATCTAGAAGGCCTGTTACCTTCAAAAGGTTTGTCCAGTTGTACCCAGTCTTTAAATATCAGGTTACTGTAGTCTTTGCCCAGCCAGTATTGGGAGACCATCTCAGCCTCTTCAGGGGACATGTCCACAGCTGCGGTTCCATTCTGCTGAGAGACAGCGGGATGCCACCTTATAGGAGAAGAGAGACAGACAGCGAGAGGACAGACCATGAAAGAAAAAGGAGACATCAGAGAAAAGAAGGAGATAATGGCTAAGGTTAAACGGAGTATGAGGAGGAGTTATAGCGTCTGTCCACTCAAAGCTGATATTTCATTTATATTGTGTTAGATGTACTAAATGTGGTTATGGAGAAATAGTTACGAGAAGTCACATAAAAGTAAACTTTCCCTTATAAAGAATGCATGATGGCACAAAGAATGAAATGCAGGCACTATTGGGGGTCTTCTTGTTTCTTCCTGATCACCCCCACAGCTTGGAGAACCTGGGTCGGAGCTGTGCTGCCCCTTCCCACCTCTTGCGACTATTGGAACGCAAGTCTGCCCATCCTGTATAAGAGCAAATAGATTCAGTATGCCAGGAGATGGGTCAGTCATCGACGGTCTTTCTACAAATCAACATTTTGTTCTGCTGTTGGTCGCCAAGCCTGCACATCATGTTCAAAATGGTGCAGTAAGCTGAAGGGACTGACCAGCTCATGGGGTAGGCAGGGGCGGACTGACCATTTGGAAACTCGGGCACTGCTCGAGGGCCCAGGGTCAGTAGGGGGCCCCATGAGATGCCCCTGGTACCTTTTTCATAGGCTTTTTTGAGTTTGGGCAAGGACACAGGGACCCCATGATCCCCTATTGCCCGGAGGGCCCATGAGTTGTCAGTCCACCCCTGGGGGTAGGTAACTAGAGAGTGTAAAATCTGGTGAAGCTCTGTGCAGAAACCGATCAGCTTCCAGGTTTTTTTTTTGTCAAAGCTTAATTGAACAAGTTGAAGTTAGAAGCGGATTGGCTCCCATACACAGCTATACCAGAATTTGCACTCTCCAGTTTTAGTAAATCAACCCCATGTCTTTGTATTTTAAAATAACATTTGCATATTATTGGAGTGCTCAGAAAGATACTGGATCGGGGGCGCGGACTGACCATTCCGGGGCACTCGGACACTACCTGAGAGCCCGGGGTCAGTAATGGACCCCAGAAGATGCCCCTGGTACCTTTCATAGGCTGGTTTGGGTGTGGGTGAGAACACAGGGGCCCCATGATCCCCTATTGCCCAGTCCACCCTTGTACTGGATGGTACATAAACACACTTGAAGGTGAAGCTTTTCATTCATGGTGCCACATTACTATGTTTTGGAGCATATGTGTACTTTGAGTTTGAAATGCTAAGAGATGTTATGGGATTTGCACCGGGAGTGATCAGAGAGCATATCAAGTCAGAAGTGGGTGAAATATACTTTTTTTTGCTCTTCTAGACTGGAGCTGGGTTTGGTGAACTTTAATCCATTTATGCCTAAGGTTGAAATTTTTTGAATTGTGAAAAATTAGACCTCGGCGATGACCTGGAGCAGTAAGATATAATCATCTCCCACATCACTACCTTCCAATAATGGAATATTAGGCATAAATGGGTTAATGAAGTATGGAACCCCAAACCCAGACCCCTTAAAATAAATGAGCCAAATCTGTAAAATCAAGAATGCCAATTTTCTGGGCTAGTAGGCCAAGCGTTGTCAAATATTAGTATGGGATGGGTACTGCCCTGGGCAACATATACCACTGCAAACATTTGGGATATGGGAAAAATTGTTTTAAATTGTCAGCAAATTACATTTACCTTCTGGATTCTATATAAAAAAAAAAAAAAAATGAACAGCACAAAGACCCCACCAAAAGGTCCACCAAAATACATAGCAGACTGCTATGGAGGGGGTCTTTGTGAATTTGTTTTTTTTTTTAAAGAAAGCCGGCAATGAATTGTCATTTGTTGGCAACTGTATATTTTATTTCTTCTCTGTAGATGTCACATTTGTTGTAGCACATTCTACAGAAGAATGAAAAAAAAAAAAAAATGGTATAGCATTCTGCACCCAGCCCCCCCCCCCCCCCCCCCCAATATATATCAGACCCTTTGAGTCTGGTATGTTTTAAGAGGGGCCCCAAAAAAAAACACCACAAAAAAATGTGTGAATGTTTCCCAGGAAATCCATACCAGACACTTGTATGGATTTTAAGGGAGTTCGTCCGGCAAATAAACAATTTTTTAAACAAAATGTGTGAAGACCCCCTTAAATCCATGCCAGACTCTTAATCCAAGTAGGTAATCACAAGCATGGTGCAGCCCTTCCCCCTCAACCATACCAGGCCACATTCCCTCAACGTGTCCTGGAAAAGCACCTTGTCCCCATGTTGATGAGGACAAGGGCTTCTTCCCCACAAACCTGGGCTGGTGGCTGTGGGGGTCTGCAGGCGGAGGGCCTATTGGAATCTGGGAGTCCCCTAATATTGTCCCTACCTACATGAATGAGGAAGGGGTACATAGTACTCCTACTCATTCACACCCAAAAAGAAGTGTAACCTAGAAATAAAGACCCAAACGTTTAACAAGTATTTTGATTAAAAAGAATTAGAAATCCCCAAAAAATGTCCTTCATTGTAAATCCATTGTCAATCACGGTGCCCACTGCCTGCCAACTCGCCAAAATTAAAAACCTGGGGGAACCATGGCACACGGCTGATCCCGACAGCACTTCCACTGAACGACAGCTGCCCAAGCGGTCATCGCCTATGAGCAACAGGACAGGGATAATAGTGACATCATTGCCCAAATACGGCCAGTGACCAAATATGGCCAGTGATGTCACTCAGTCTCCATCCCTTTGCTTACATGGCCAGTGATTCCCAGCCATGTAAGCCAATGTACAAGTGATGGCAGCTGTTGACAGGGATGCAGCGGGTGCCATCACCTGCTGCTTCCTTAGGAACCACTGACAGCAGGAAGCTGCCATATATAGAAGTGGTAGAATACATAAAGTTACTGAAAACAATACCCAAGCTCTACAGCTGATAATACAGGTCTGTAACTGAAGACTGGTGCTCATGGTTAGGATGTGCAGTCCCTTGGTACTGAAGACAGACAACAATCTACTACAGCCAAGCTAGACACCACTGTGAAGACAATCCACTACAACCAAGCTAGACGCCACTGTGAAGACAATCCACTACAGCCAAGCTACACGCCACTGTGGAAAATCAGACCACGTTCTACCGCTGGTAATACAGGTTTATGGCTGAAGACTGGTGCTCATGGCTAGGATGTACAGTCCCTTGGCACTGAAGACAGACAACGATCTACGACAGCCAAGCTAGACACCACTGTGAAAAATCAGACCACGCTCTACCACTGGTAATACAGGTTTATGGCTGAAGACTGGTGCTCATGGCTAGGATGTACAGTCCCTGGGTACTGAAGACAGACAACAATCTACTACAGCCAAGCTAGAAACCACTGTGAAGACAATCCACTACAGCCAAGCTACACGCCACTGTGAAGACAATCCACTACAGCCAAGCTACACGCCACTGTGGAAAATCAGACCACGTTCTACCACTGGTAATACAGGTTTATGGCTGAAGACTGGTGCTCATGGCTAGGATGTACAGTCCCTTGGCACTGAAGACAGACAACGATCTACGACAGCCAAGCTAGACACCACTGTGAAAAATCAGACCACGCTCTACCACTGGTAATACAGGTTTATGGCTGAAGACTGGGGCTCATGGCTAGGATGTATAGTCCCTGGGTACTGAAGACAGACAACAATCTACTACAGCCAAGCTAGACGCCACTGTGAAGACAATCCACTACAGCCAAGCTAGACGCCACTGTGAAGACAATCCACTACAGCCAAGCTACACGCCACTGTGAAGACAATCCACTACAGCCAAGCTACACGCCACTGTGAAGACAATCCACTACAGCCAAGCTACACGCCACTGTGGAAAATCAGACCACGCTCTACCGCTGGTAATACAGGTTTATGGCTGAAGACTGGTGCTCATGGCTAAGATGTACAGTCTCTTGGTACTGAAGACAGACAATAATCTACTACAGCCAAGCTAGATGCCACTGTGAAAAATCAGACTACTCTCTACCGCTGGTAATATGGGTCTGTAGCAGAAGACGGGTGCTCATGGCTAGGATGTGCAGTCCATTGGTACTGAAGACACAACAATCCACTATAGCCAAGCTAGACTCCACTGTGAAGACAATCGATTACAGCCAAGCTAGATGCCACTGTGAAAAATAAGACCACGCTCTACCGCTGGTAATACAGGTTTATGGCTGAAGACTGGTGCTCATGGCTAGGATGTACAGTCCCTTGGCACTGAAGACAGACAACGATCTACGACAGCCAAGCTAGACACCACTGTGAAAAATCAGGCCACGCTCCACCACTGGTAATACAAGTTTATGGCTGAAGACTGGTGCTCATGGCTAGGATGTGCAGTCCCTTGGTACTGAAGACAGACAACAATCTACTACAGCCAAGCTAGATGCCACTGTGAAAAATCAGACCACGCTCTACCACTGGTAATATGGGTCTGTAGCGGAAGACGGGTGCTCATGGCTAGGATGTGCAGTCCATTGGTACTGAAGACACAACAATCCACTATAGCCAAGCTAGACTCCACTGTGAAGACAATCGATTACAGCCAAGCTAGATGCCACTGTGAAAAGTCAGACCACACTCTACCACTGGTAATACAGGTTTATGGATGAAGACGGGTGCGCATGGCTAGGCAGTGCAGTCCCTTGGAACCAGAACATTGATGCATGTAAGCTGGGAACTCGGAGTGCTTGAATATCAGAAATCTTTATTGGCCTCATAGGTTACATACAGTAAACCGATGCGAACGTGTTTTGGCCGCAACAGCTTTATTCATAGAATGAGTAAGGCTGTTGCGGCTGAAAAGCATTCGCATCATTTTACTGTATGTTACCTATGTAGCCCATAAAGATTTATGACGTTCCAGTACACAGAGCGTTTGTCGTCGTGTTGTGTAACGCATGATATGGTAGCAGAGCAAGATGAAGTAACACTACTGATGGGCCAAAGTGAAAGGAAGGC